AGGAAAATGCAAAAGACAGCAACTAACCTCAAAATAACAGCCATTTGCTCTTTAATAGATGCATCTCGAGACTCATCAACAAGAATGGCGAAATTTCTCTCACCAACATCCTTTAGAATGGCTTTAGTTGTCTTATTTGCACAAGCCTTGCACAAATGCTTTTGTATTTTTGGTGAAGTCAATAGATGATTCCCAGGAGAATTTCCAAGTAATTTTTGGGCATCTTTATCCTTCTCCTTGTACCATTCTATCATCTCTAGAAAGTTCCCCTTATTGCTAGATCCATGAGATTCATCATGACCACGAAAAGCAAGTGCTTGCAATAAAAGAAATCTCACAACACCCAATATCATAGTTATACGACCATAATATTGTTGCTCTAACTTCTTAGATCCACTATCCATCTTATATGATACACTTTGCCTTTGATTTTTGAAATCCTCACAATGTTTTCTAGCTCTATTATGAAAACTATCTACTTTACCAACATGTTCATTAAAAGATCCAGTTGCATGTTTCCAATTAGTAAAGCCCTTACTTGTGAAAGCATCAACACCAAAATTATCAGGTCTTGGTTGCTTGAAAAGATAACAATAAAAACAGAATGCTGCATCTTTGGCAATACTATACTCCAACCAATTATGCATTTTGAACCACGAGTCATGAAAGCTTCTTTGTCGATTTCCCATTAACTTCTGTGGATATTTATGACCAATTGGTTGGCATGGACCTCTTGACAAGTATTCCCTTCTAACAGCATCTCTAATGTCTATATGAAATTGCTCAATTGGTTTTCTAAGCCCAGGATCAGCAACTATGTCAGCCGGATTAAGCTCAACTGTCTCTGAATTGTGAGGTTCTTGTTCTGGTTGTGGAATATTACTCCCCACTGTCTCAACAATACTAGGGGCTGCCTCACAAGTACTAGGGGCATGTTGAACTTGAATGTTACTAGCTCTAGCTCCAGTTTCTCCTATGGCTGCCTCAACAACAGCTGCTGCTTGCTGAGTATTACTACCTCCGGTTCCCGCTGTTTGTGGAGGATTTGGGTCTAAATTGGATTGGGGTGTTGCTGGGGCATAAAAAGATTTCAATGTAGTCCTAGGCCTCTTCATCTTCTGATCTCTATTGCAAGTTAAATAAATTGATTGGAATCAATAGATCTATAGACACTGCAGTATTTTAGGCACTTAGCCACTTAGGCATTTGAGAAAAGAAGTAAAGAACAAATTGACAGAAGAAAATAGAGATGGAAAACTTACCCCCGTACTTGCTGCTCCGCTCATGAGCACAAAGCCGCGCCTTGGCCCTTGGCCCTTGGGGGTTGTCGGCTCGTTGCCGACCGCCGGTCCCAGTGATGGCGCACTGGTGCTGTCCGCCTGTCCGCCAGGGAGCCGGATGAGGAGAGGAGTTGAGGCTGAGGAGTGAGGAGGCAGCAAGGCAGAGGCAGGTAGGGAGCGACCGAGCGAGCCGAGGAGACGGCGTGCCAGGCGGGCGGCGGCGCCGGCGTGCTGTCGTGCTGGGTAGGACCGTAGGAGCGAGCCTCGAGCAAGAAGGCGTCGCGCCACGCCGCCGCTCTCCCGTCTCTGTCTCTCGCTTCTAAGGAACTGAGGAGGGGAGTTAGGGTTAGGTTGATTTAGTGGGCCTTGGGCCAAAATTTCAGAGGTATATCTAGGTGGGGGGTCCATTACTACACGGCCCACGACCTGGTTCGCGGCCCAGGTTGCCCCAGGCCTGGGTCCGCCCCTGCAATTAGTGATGGTGGCATATACCGTGGCCACCTTAACTTAGTCATATGTTCCCTTGATGCCCTTTAGAATAGGACAAGAGAAGATGGAGTATATCAAGATAGTTTTTTTTTATGTTTTTAAGTACATTTGTGGTACAGTGTACACACAGTTTGTTTTTGGTGTTCATCATTACTACTCAAATTTTATCATTTAGATAAAATACTCTCTTTTGAAAATGAGTGAGGTTAATCATTTCATGATACTTAAAAAAATTATAGCTAAAGATACATAGCACCTTGATAATATCGAGAACACCATATTATTGTTTATATTTTGACAAATATATATAATTTAGCGTTTAGTTTGTTTTCCACTCCTATTGTTCATAGTGACATGAGGCAATTTTACTAATTTGAAGAATGCATTTATTTTTCCCAAATTTATATATACTAACTAATCCATTGGAGTACACTTATAGTCACGTCAATCAAGTTTATGGCATATATCTATCAATTATGCCTGACATAGTGAAATTCCTTAAGTATAAGAAAATATGACATGAGTAGTTTATTAGCATGTTACTTCATTGTTCAAAATCATGGCAAAGACAAAAATATGTGACCATAAATCTATTGATGGATTGTAGCAAAATCATTGGCTGGAAATATTGTTGATATTTTTTTTCATATCTATGTATCATGTATGCTGCCTACTTCTTAAATACCAATCAAATAGTTCTGAAAATATCCAAAAAATGCTTTGAGAATCTTAATCTCAAACAAATCCTATATACCTATACAAATCATCCCCACTACTACAATTCTCTGCTTCCTGGTGCTTCCACGTCACCCCTTTTTGTCCCCACCGTTAGATTCGCATCGAGCCCTTCCTCCGCATCGCTCCTCTCCTCTCCCCTCCCGCATCTCGCTGCGGCGCCGGCCCCACGCGCATCCCGCATCGCTCCCCTCCCCTCCCCGCATCGCTCCCCTCCTCTCCTCTCCCGCATCTCGGCTTCGCCGGCCCCACGCGCGCATCGCTCCTCTCCCGCATCTCGCGCCGCCGCCCCTCCACCGCATCCACGCCGCGTCCCGCTTCGCCTCCTCCATCGCGCGCTGCTTCCTCTCCCCATCGCGCGTGTGCCAGACGCGGCCCTCCGCCGACACCCTCGCTTCCTCTCCTGGTCTCCCCCATCACGCGCGCCAGCGTGGGCCCGCTAGCCGGCCACGATCGCGTCTCCTCTCATTCCTAGCGCGAGCCAGCCGCGGGCCCAGCATCGTCGCCGCGTCGCGCTTCCCCCATCCCTCCCCCTGACCCACCCCCCCTCCCCACCCACCCACCCTCCCCCTGACCGTCAGGGCTGTTTCCCTTCCTCGCTTCCACCCAATCTTTCGCTAATTCGTTTCACCTTCCCCATTCCATCTCCCTCGCGTGAAACTGATGGCGCATGCCCTGCCTCCTCCACTTCTACAAATGGAAGGAGCATTCAACTCGACGCTCCTGCACTTTATCTTCTTTTAACCCCCCTCACTCGATGCCACTCTTCTCTGACCTCTATCATCAGATTTATTGCCAAGACATGATAATGGAGTACTTCAAGGACCTTGAGTCCTTACCTCTCTCTCTCCAATGTTCGTCTGCGGCATCACCATGCACCATGGATCCCAATCTTGCCTTTTTCTTCTTGCTCATCGGTGGCCAATGCAAGATCAATGATATTATTTTGTAAAGTACTGCACCATGTAGTCACCAGGCCTGGCCTATGGCATATCTGATCTTAGATGTGGACCAAATGTTTCAGTTATCCGGTAAGAAAGTGGTAAGAAGAACAATATTTTTGGTTGATGATATGATGCGATTTGCTGGTACGTTCTTATGGGTGGTATTTGCTGCTTTTAGCACAATTTTATACTTCTGCATACACAATTGTTTTTCTCCTAATATCTGAAGGTATTTATTTAATTTAAGTGGGCAAATGTCTTTATAGTATGCAGATTTCTGACCAGATTGTACCCAAGGTATGATAGAGATCTAACATTCTTATATTCATGTCCTTGAGACAAATTGTTGCAACGAGTGAATCATTTTCTGCTCTATGGAAATTTGCTCAAATCCTTCTTAATTGTCTCTCTGCTGTGCATATATAGCTCATGTTACTGCCTTGCTTCCAAGATATTGGGTTCAAATGTAAGATAACACTAATAGGTATCTGTTGTTCCAACCATAATCTCGATCTGTTTAACTAATGCAGACTCTGTTTGCTTTTATAATGCTCATTTTATACATCATATGTTTACGGACCATTAATTAGGTTCACATAAGTATGTGTCTCACTAGACGCTACCTTCCATTGAAATATTATTTGTTCATATCTTATCTGACATTTCCATCTTATACCATTTTCCTTTAGTTTGTCACATTTTAAACTTGCTGCTGTAAGTTTGCTAACTAACCATGTGAAACAGGTCAACATTCCTTAGTCTCAATACTTCAATAGTGCAGGTTGCAATTCACTACCTGAAATGCTCATTTCAGCTCAAAGTTTTCTAGGCTATCGTCTGCTACATAAAATCCAACTGATATGTGAGAGTCCTGCTCCTTTAGGTGTGTCACGTTCTGAATTCAGATCAGTAAAGTTTTAGCGTCTCTCAGGGGTGGACCCAGGCCTGGGGCAACCTGGGCCGCGGACCAGGTCGTGGGCCGTGTAGTAATGGACCCCCCACCTAGATATACCTCTGAAATTTTGGCCCAAGGCCCACTAAATCAACCTAACCCTAACTCCCCTCCTCAGTTCCTTAGAAGCGAGAGACAGAGATGGGAGAGCGGCGGCGTGGCGCGACGCCTTCTTGCTCGAGGCTCGCTCCTACGGTCCTACCCAGCACGACAGCACGCCGGCGCCGCCGCCCGCCTGGCACGCCGTCTCCTCGGCTCGCTCGGTCGCTCCCTACCTGCCTCTGCCTTGCTGCCTCCTTACTCCTCAGCCTCAACTCCTCTCCTCATCCGGCTCCCTGGCGGACAGGCGGACAGCACCAGTGCGCCATCACTGGGACCGGCGGTCGGCAACGAGCCGACAACCCCCAAGGGCCAAGGGCCAAGGCGCGGCTTTGTGCTCATGAGCAGAGCAGCAAGTACGGGGGTAAGTTTTCCATCTCTATTTTCTTCTGTTAATTTGTTCTTTACTTCTTTTCTCAAATGCCTAAGTGGCTAAGTGCCTAAAATACTGCAGTGTCTATAGATCTATTGATTCCAATCAATTTATTTAACTTGCAATAGAGATCAGAAGATGAAGAGGCCTAGGACTACATTGAAATCTTTTTATGCCCCAGCAACACCCCAATCCAATTCAGACCCAAATCCCTCCACAAACAGCGGGAACCGGAGGTAGTAATACTCAGCAAGCAGCAGCTGTTGTTGAGGCAGCCATAGGAGAAACTGGAGCTAGAGCTAGTAACATTCAAGTTCAACATGCCCCTAGTACTTGTGAGGCAGCCCCTAGTATTGTTGAGACAGTGGGGAGTAATATTCCACAACCAGAACAAGAACCTCACAATTCAGAGACAGTTGAGCTTAATCCGGCTGACATAGTTGCTGATCCTGGGCTTAGAAAACCAATTGAGCAATTTCATATAGACATTAGAGATGCTGTTAGAAGGGAATACTTGTCAAGAGGTCCATGCCAACCAATTGGTCATAAATATCCACAGAAGTTAATGGGAAATCGACAAAGAAGCTTTCATGACTCGTGGTTCAAAATGCATAATTGGTTGGAGTATAGTATTGCCAAAGATGCAGCATTCTGTTTTTATTGTTATCTTTTCAAGCAACCAAGACCTGATAATTTTGGTGTTGATGCTTTCACAAGTAAGGGCTTTACTAATTGGAAACATGCAACTGGATCTTTTAATGAACATGTTGGTAAAGTAGATAGTTTTCATAATAGAGCTAGAAAACATTGTGAGGATTTCAAAAATCAAAGGCAAAGTGTATCATATAAGATGGATAGTGGATCTAAGAAGTTAGAGCAACAATATTATGGTCGTATAACTATGATATTGGGTGTTGTGAGATTTCTTTTATTGCAAGCACTTGCTTTTCGTGGTCATGATGAATCTCATGGATCTAGCAATAAGGGGAACTTTCTAGAGATGATAGAATGGTACAAGGAGAAGGATAAAGATGCCCAAAAATTACTTGGAAATTCTCCTGGGAATCATCTATTGACTTCACCAAAAATACAAAAGCATTTGTGCAAGGCTTGTGCAAATAAGACAACTAAAGCCATTCTAAAGGATATTGGTGAGAGAAATTTCGCCATTCTTGTTGATGAGTCTCGAGATGCATCTATTAAAGAGCAAATGGCTGTTATTTTGAGGTTAGTTGCTGTCTTTTGCATTTTCCTTGTTCTTATATTTTGAAACTGACCATATTAACAATGGTATTATTCTATGTTATGTCACATAGGTACATCAACAGCAAAGGGCAGGTGATTGAGAGATTTCTTGGGGTTGAACATGTTCCTGATACAACATCAGTTGCACTGAAAATAGCTTTGGATGCCATGATTGTTAGTCATGGTTTATCTATGCATAAAGTGAGAGGGCAAGGATATGATGGCGCATCAAACATGAGAGGTGAATTTCATGGGCTGCAAAGACGGGTATTGGATGAAAACCCCTATGCCTTTTATATTCATTGTTTTGCCCATCAGTTGCAGCTAGTGGTTGTGTCTGTTGCAAAATGTTGTTCTCCTGTCTCAGATTTCTTTAACTATACCCCCATGATTGTTAACACTGTCAATGGTTCTTGTAAGAGACATGATCAGCTGGCCCAAGAACACCATGATAATCTTGTGAGTAGTTTAGAGACTGGGGAGATATTTTCAGGAAGAGGGAAAAACCAAGCAACTAACCTTGCAAGACCTGGGGATACTCGGTGGGGTTCACATCACAAAACCTTGTGTCGTTTGCAGCACATGTGGAAAGCAGTCCTAGAGGTATTAGAAAATATATGTGAGGATAACCCCACTACAAAAATAACTGCTACAGGTTTGCTAAAACAGATGGAGAGCTTTGAATTTGTGCTTATCATGCACCTAATGATTAGACTATTGGGTAAAACTAATGATCTGTCACAATGCTTGCAAAAGAAAGACCAAAATATTATTCGTGCTATAGGATTGATTGGGACCACATTGCAAAAAATTAACCACATAAGGCAGCATGGTTGGCAAGAACTCTTTGAAGAGACAAAGACATTTTGTCTCAAGTATAACATCATTGTGCCAGATATGTCAGATACAACTACTACTAGGGGTCGTTCAAGGGGTCGTGGAGGTCAATTGATAACTTACCAACATCATTTCAATAATGAAATCTTTAATGTGGTACATGACCAGCTTATTGTGGAGTTAAACAATCGGTTTGCTGAGAGATCTACCCAGTTATTGAGATGCATTGCTTGTCTTGATCCTAGGAATTCTTTTGCCAATTTTGATGAAGATAAGTTAATTGAGCTTGCTAGAATGTATGCTGCCGACTTCTCTCCATATGATTGCATAGTCCTAAAGGACCAACTTGAGACATTTATAGCTGATGTGAGAGCAGACCCACATTTCCTAAGTTGCAGTGACCTTGGTAATCTTGCAATGAAGATGGTTCAGAGTGATAGACATACAGTTTTTCCTTTGGTTTATCGGCTCATTGAATTGGCTTTGATTTTGCCGGTGGCAACAGCAACAGTTGAAAGGGCTTTTTCAGCTATGAATATCATCAAAACTGAGTTGCGGAATAAAATGGCTGATGAATGGCTCAATCATCGCGTGGTCTGCTATATTGAGAGAGACATATTTGCAAGCATTGATAATGATAAGATATTAACTCATTTTCAAGAATTGAGAACCAGAAAGATGAAGCTACCTCTCCCTAGTGGTATGTCTTATTCTTGTTCTGAAATTTGTGTACTGTTAACTTTGATTCTCATTTTCTCAATCCATGGATGTAATATGTGATTCTTTTTCCAATAGGATCAAGATCTGGAGCTACAATTGAAGAATTCAATGAGGATGATATAGACTCCGAGGAAGATAACACGTAGCAAGGTATTTGAAAATGTATTTGTACTTCTTTTTCGCACCGCAACTAAATTTGTACCATACATTTTGATCGTGCATTAGTATTAGTAGCAAACTAGCAATGTAGCATCTATTATTGTATCATTGTGTGCGGTGGCAATAAGATTTGGCCCCGGGCTTAGCAAAATCCTGGGTCCGCCACTGGCGTCTCTGTCCATATATACAGCTACATATGCCAGACACGAAAAGAGATATGTTATATCAAATAAAGATTCGGCATAATTTATCTTTGCTTTTACTGCTAACAGTTATTACTTCTGTACATACATCCTTTGGATTGCGCAATTGAGGCCGAATTTCTCCTCGAAAAAGCTTCTCTGTAGGAACACAATTTCTCCTGGAAAAAACTTCTTTGTAGGAACACACATGGCACTAGCTGTTGATGCATCAAATCCAAGAGATCCTGCATAGCTATGGGCCTATGGCTCAGTGAAGCTTTAAGCTCCATTGCCTTTTTGGTATTTATTATTTTTAATCAATTTTATTTTTTCATTTTACTACAAATATAATTACATATATTTTCAGTATGGTTTATTCAATTCGTGAGTTAAAAATTTACTGCATTGGAGTTGTATGTTCAAAATTTTTAAGTCGTTAGTCATAAATATTTTTAGCATGCTAATTGCTATAAACTTATATTTTTATCTAGCAATTTCCGCAGCAACACGCGGGGTATCATCTAGTTACAATTAAATATCAGACATACTTGAAAAAAAACATAACAAAACTCTGAATTTGTGATGTTCTCTTTTTTTTTACATATGTAGATTTAAATTAATATAGTATATTTGTGAAGCGATATTTCACACCCTAAAATATGATGTGAATTTTTTTAAAAAAAAATTATCATATAGCTAACTATTATATTTAAGACCACAATATAACTTTTATAATTTAGTTTAAAGAATACAATGAATCACAAATTAGATATATAATCTAAAAATAATTTAAAATATGGTTTAGAAAAGGTTGGTTGGATATTTTATATTTTTATTGTAGATCTTAGTTTAACGACATATTTATATTTGTGTAGTAATATATTTTTTATCCTATTTTAAAGACCGTTAATTCTTTCCCGAAGGTACTACATACGTATGTTTTTTTTTGCTTTGTCTTTTTATCTATATGCTTTCCTTCGCTTCCATCAACGGTAGTTAAGATAGTTATATTGTAGAAAAATCATATTTTAAAGACCGTCAATTTTTTTCCCGACGGTACCACAAACAAATATTTTCTTAATCTAGAAATAATTTAAAAAATAGTTTAAAGAGCGTTGATTGGATATTATATATTTTTATTATAGAAATTAGTTTTAATGCATATTTATACATATTTATATTTGTGAAGTAATATATTTTTATCTTTATATTGTAGAAAAATCCTTTTTTAAAGACCGTTTTTAATTTATGTTTTTTTTGGCTTTGTCTTTTAGGTGTTTTCCTTCCGGTAACAGTAGGTAAGATCTTTATATATTGTAGAAAAATCATATTGTAAAAACCGTCATCTTTTCCCGACGGTACCACAGACGCATGATTTATTTTTTTACTTTGTCTTTTTTTTTTTATGGACGTGCTTTCCTTCTGGCAAGGCGGCAACAGTATGTAAAGCTATTGTTTTGTTATCAATAGTATACGTACTCGTACGAACGTACGGGAGCAGTAGTTCCGATTGTATCATTTATACATGAGGAAGTTATTAGTTTTTTTATAATACTAGCATGAATGCCCGTGCATTGCAACGGGAAGAAAAAAAGAAAATTGACTTAAAACATAGTAAATATATTTTTTTGGAATATTTGGGTTTTTTAAGTAGGTAGGTTTATAGTTAAATTAATTTATAAGTAAAGTAAGTGCTAGAAATAAAATGATACGGTTGGATTTAATTTTTATTAAATTCTCCATATTAATTACACTCTTTGAAACTTTCTTGAAAATTACAGAGCTTAGTTGCTAATTTTGATAATACAATCATCATTTCAGCATTTATTTAAATAAAAATCTATATAAAAAATCCTTATTTCTCTATAGGCCATTTTCGGCCCATTTTCCTCTTCAGCCCGCAACCGAGCCGGCCCGCTTTCCTCCCATTCCACTTCTCTCCGCCTCAGCCCAAAAGCACCCGTCGGCCCAAAGAAGTCTAAGTACGCTCCCCTTGCTCCTCCTCTCTTTGTGTGGTGGGCCCTAACCGAAAGTTTAACCACGATTCGGCCTATCAAGCCCGCGCGGCCCGTCGATGGATGCCGGCCCGAAGCGGGACTGATCTGAGCCGTTCATTTTGATGGACGACTCAGATTGGTTCCGAATCCATCAAAACTCCCAGACAAAGAAACCTAAACCTAATTCCTTTTTTGCCCTCCCATACCCCCACCGTTGGCCGCTTCTCCCCTTTTGTCGATCCCTCTCCGCCGCTTCCCCTCCCCCTACCCCCACCAACGGCGCCTCTCCCTACCGGCGGTGCCACTCCCATCCCCCCACCGCGAGCTCCTCCTCACCTCCCCTCCCCTCCCCTCCCAGCGGCGCATCTACCCCTCCCGTCCCCTCTCCCGACCGACGGCGTTGCTCCTTCTCCACCGCCCTCTCTCCGCTGCTCCCACTCCCCCTCCCCACCGGTGTCGCCAGTCCGTCTCCTCCTCTCCCTCCTGTCTCGCCGGCATGACGCAAAGACAATGACGGCACAACTCCATTTGAGTGGATAAGGAGAGAGAGGGGTCGAGTGCGGCGGGTACCGCCGGCTAGATCCGGCGGCACCGACGGAACCGACTGCTTCCCTCGGCCCGATCCGGCTGTGGCGGCGGCTTTCCGCAGTGGAGTCGACAGCGCCGACGACGGCGGCAGCTTCTCGTAGCCCAATCTAGCAGCGGCGGCGTCCCGCGGCAGATCAGATGGCAACGACGGCGGCGGCTGCTTCCCACGGCAGATCCGGTGGTACCGACGGCGCCGGCGGCTACCCGCGTCTAGATCCGGTTCGCGGGCCGATCCGGCGGCGATGGCGGCTTCCCGCGCCGGAAATCCGATGGCTACGACAGCGGCAGCGAATCCGGCGGCAACGTCGGCGTCATCGGCTTTCGGTGAAGTTTTTATTTTGTTTTCTCTTTTACTAGATTGTCCTATTGGATTTTGTATCTACATTTGCAATGAAGTTTCGTTGGATCGCTCGGGCATTAGGTTGTTGATGCGCACTCTGGATGATTTATTTTTCTTTGTGTTGGACTCTCAACTCAGATGTTGCGGACGAAAACTTCGCTTGAGTTTGTTTCCTTCTTTTGTGGAATCGGAAAGACTTGATTTTTTTTTCACACTTTTTTCACAGATGGACGACAGAAACAAAATCGAAATCGGATTGGGATTTGAGGGATGGGCGAAAATTCGGACGAATAGAGGGGATGACGAACGGAAAAATACTAATCTTTTAATTAGTTAAGATATAAATCTAATCTAGTCTGTAAAATAATGGGTTCCACCAATTTAATTGAAATTCGACGGTAAGATTAGACTGTGCCATGTGGCGGCTTGAGAGCATTTTTAGGAGTGCCACGTGGTGGTTTAAGAGCCTTTGTAGGAAGTTTAATAGACTTTTAGTATATAATAGATAATAGATAGATATGAATGATATGTAAATTTATCATGTGATTATTTTTTAATACTTATAGTAACAATAGTAACAGTCCATGTAATGCATGGTAAGTTGTGTAAGAGCGCAATATGGCTGTGTTTAGTTCCTGAAAAAAGTTAGAAGTTTAGGATAGTTGGGGGTGAACTAAACACGGCCTATATATGTTCATGCTTCATCAAGTAAATTAAGTAGAGGAGCACGGTATGAGTAATTAAGGACGTACCCAATTTAATGTCTTGGCATAATCGGCGGCTCCCCCTAATTGCCAAACTGCTTCGTTTCCCGTGTAGTTAAGTACCGTGACGTCCGTGTCTCCATGGGACAAAAGAGCGGCAACAATTCTTGGGTTGCAATCCTGCACCGCGTAATGCAGAGCAGTGTTCCCGCCGTTATCTCGCATGTTGACGAGTTTCCGAAGATACGGCGACTCTAGGATAAATTCCACGAACTCCAGATGACCTTTGAATGCGGCTTGATGGAGACATGTGCAACCATTAGCGTCGTAATACGGAGCATCTGGACAATGATGCACAAGCTCTCTAGCAACACTAACATAGCCACGGTATGCGGCGGAATTAAGGAGCGGGACACTGTCCTTATTATTACTTAGGACATACCCCAAGGACCAATCATACTGCAGCAATGCTCCGAGAACATGGGTTTTACCCCACATTGCGGCATGATGCATTGGAGTATCCATTTCATCGTCGAATTCTCTAGCCAGCCCTGGACGCTTCTCCACTAACTCTTTAGCAATAACTGAAAACAAATTTAATGATATATGCAAGAATCACCTGCCTGTGGTCATTTTAACGAATAATGGAGTAATTATTAATGACTCGTCAGACAGCCTAGTATGCAATTCTTACCTGGATTCCCGTTTCTCACGGCGGCATGGAGAGCATTGCGGCCATGACAACCCACGTGAGCAGAACCAGGAATCCCCAACAGTTTCCGGAAGATATCAGTGAAATCTCTCATCACAGCGATGTACATGGGTGATTCCCTGTACTTGTTTACACCTTGTGACAGGCCTGCTTCTGCTGCTATCAGTTCCAACGCAAGGTCCCTGTGGCCGTTGCGAATGGCATGGTGCAGGGCATTACATCCATTCTCATCTTGTTTCAAGATAGCTTCTCTGAGCCCCGCTTCGCAGCACCGTCTGAGCAAAACGGAGGCCAAGGCGGTGCGGCCGTTGGTTACCGCGGTGAGCAGCGGCGTCTCGCCGTGTGAGTTTGCAACGGTGAGAAGAGAATTGTCTAACATCAACACCTCCTGGCAGAATTCCTCATGACCATTGATAGTGGATATGTGGAGGCAGGTGTTCCCCTGAGGAGTTGTGCGGAGCAATATGCTTGGATCCATGGCAGCCACCAGCTCCTTCATCAACCTGCAATCGCCTGACTTTGCGGCTTCAAAGAGCCGTCCGTCCATTTTTACAGCTTGTGTCTGTTATGTACTGCTCCTTCTGCTGAATTAATTAATGTTGGTACAGATGCACTGGAATTACTAGTGATATATACTACATATGTACTGTTTGTCATCATGTAGCTCGTTGGACTATATATCTTTTTGTAGGTTCTTGATAGCAAATATTGGGAGAAGGATACACACACACACATATATATATATATATACTTACACTGAACATTTTATATATGCAGAGAATTGTCTGAGCGCATTTCTATCCATACTTTAAGCAAACAACTACTCCTTCAGGGCTGATAATACTCGTTTTAGAAAAAGGTGAGGTCAAACTTTAAAATATTTAATTATGAATTATTTTTAAAATATTTGTCTATCAAATATGGTGACTACATATATATATATATATATATATATATATATATATTAGTCTTAAAAAGTACTTTAATAAGATCATATATTTGTTAATATTTTTATACATATTATAATGAAAAATAATGGTCAAAGTTATTTTTTAGAGAACATATCCTTGTCCAAAACAACAAGTATTATTAACCCGGAGGGAGTAGAAAGGTAGCCCGTGCGAATACACGGGCATGTATTTTACGCTACGTTTATACGGGTAGATAATCAACCAAATTATTTATCCAATGATTAAAAGGTAGGATTTTTCCAAAATACTGCTCAACAACATTGTTTACATAATTATTCTGAAGCTACACTAAATAGCTTAATTCTAAAGTCGATTAGATAGTAACATAGAATATATTTTAGAGCAATTACTCCCTCTATCGTATAATAACTTTATTTTGGCACATCCCCATTTGTTTCTAAATAAGTTTATTTTTAGTAATCATTTCATCGGGATTTGTGAAAGTAGAGGATAAATATACTGGGAGTAGATAAAAATATAGGAATAATTGTATTGGGACTTGGATTATTCATACTTATTAATTCTATATCTAATTAGTAATAAATGTTTGAAAACTATGTATGATGGGGCAACCTGTGTTATTAAATTGTTTTATACTTTTATGTTAAATCGCATGACATATGAAAGGGTTGAGATGTTGTCCCTCAATAAAATATTATTTAATATTTGAATTTGTAATTTTATTTGGATAATGTAGATTTAATTTGGGTATGTATGTTTGTAGAATAATATATGATGACTCAATATATGATGTCATTTTTTTCAATATTTTATTTCTAGATTAGGAATGAGATTTTATAGCTTGAAAATTGTGATCGTTTTAGTATATAAAATTAAGGAAGGAGGAGAGAGCATGAGGTAGAGGGAGAAGCAGGGGCCGTGTGCACCTCATGCGCATGCGAGTGGGAGGGGCATGGGTGGTTAAAAGTAATGAGTTCACCGATTTAAGTGAGAGTATGCTAAGTTGATTTTCGTTTTTGTTCTCAGAATTTCTAATACAATTTTCTAATTTATTATATGTACCATGTGGTGGGTTAAGAGCATGGAAGATAATGTTTAATGGACTTTTATTATATACACAATATTTAATGGATATTTATTACTCCCTCCGTCCCAAAATATAGCAATTTGGGACTGGATGGGACATATCCTAGTCCAATGAATCTAGATAAGGGACTGTCTAGATTCGTTGGACTAAGATACGTCTCATCCAGTTCTGAGTTGCTACTCCATCCGTCCCATAATATAAGGGATTTTAGATGGATGTGACACATCCTAGTACAATGAATCTGGACATATTCATTATACTAGGACGTGTCATATCCATCCAAAATTACTTATATTATAGGATAGATGGAGTATATTTTAGGACGGATGTAGTATTTGCTAGCTAGAAAATAAGGAGGCCAAAGTGAGCAAGGAGAGAGGGAACATGAAATTATTTGGATGACATGATAGTATATGTTATTAATTTTTTGCTATTTATAGGAGTTTGTATCAAATGATGTATTTCTTATATATCAAAACATGGCCAATATAGATATATAGAATATGTTGTAAAAAATATAATTATTTAGTTATCTAATCATTATTATTTGTTATCTAGAAAATTGGATGATAGAAGTGACGAGTAAGAGAGAGGATGTGAGAGGAAGGGACGTACATATATGTAAGTACTTGTAGTGAGGAGGAGAGGATACCCTCATGCCCATGAGGCAGGGGAGCCGGAGAGGATTTTAGGGAGATAGTATTTTTTTCATTTAAAATAAATCTAATGGTGTAAAATAATAGGTTTATTATATTAAGTGAAAATCAGGGCTAGACGTTTTGTTTTTTCTTAGAATTTCTTAGATATGTCTCTAATTTATTAGAGTACCAGCTTAGGAGCGTTTGTCACTGTATACTAGATTACATTAAGTATGAAGAAATAAAATATACGCCAACGATGTATGAGTTTTAATTAATGACTAGTACATACTAATCCCTTGATGTTTTGGTCTTTCCATCATCTAGATCCACTAGTATCCATATGAATTTGGATATATATATATATATATATATATATATATATATATATATATATATATATATATATATATAAAGAGCACATATATGGATTTATATACATGAATCTATTCAAAACCTAAAATATGTTATAATGTGAAACAGGGATTCAATATTGACTAGCTACTACCTGCTTAATTACCTGGTAGTTGAATCCGTTTTGTATGGATGGAAGGAAATATGACCACCAGACTATAACTTGGTAGTTGTAAACAAACTAAACAGCTAGCACAGCCTTTATATATAAATTTAAACAGCATCACCGTTTGCTGGGAGTTCAAGAAGAGAAGCCTTAAATGGAACTAAACGTATCATGTTCAAAGGAGAAAAGGGATTGCATGCTCAGAGAGAAAAGAACAGTATCTTCTGAGCCCAGCTGTAGCTAGCCCCTAGAATCTTCTTCTCCTCCTTATTTTTATCCAGTTATTTTAGCCGGGTTGATCGAAGAGGAGGCCAACCAAATGGTCCAAATCTTATGGGAAGCGCATCATGTCTGTGAAGCCCAACTAAATCTTATGATGAGTCCAACCAATCTTATGGAAAGGCCAAAGTATCATGTCCGTGATGGTTTATAGGATGGCTTGTTTGACTGGTCAAATCTAGTCGATGACAGTCTTTTATTTAGATTCGACAAATTAAGATGACAGCTATCGATAACTCCTGTTGGCCCGACACAGATGAATTTTCGCATCACTGACTAATAATCCGTGAATAAGTCGCTCACCAACACATATGAGAGTTCCCGTTCGACATAGATGACCTATTCCGCACTAGTGATCAATTACAAATTACATTAATTCTTGTGTTTCTTTATCACAAATAAGCCAGCAGACCATCGTAAGTAGGGAATGGAAAGCTTTTCTATGTCGGTCTGAATTCCAGCATGATTTTGCAGACACCAAACATCTATTTTACCGACATGATCCCGGGCAAACTAATTAACGCGCCATGAGGCAAATCATTGGCGAGATGCTTTCAGATTGGAGGGGATTCATCGATGAAGGAAACACGTCCACGTTGTGTAGAGCTATGTTCGTGAATGGCAAGGATGATAGGGAACAGGACGCAGAGGACTGATTGTCATTGTACCCTCATTTTTTTCAATCAGTAGATAAATCATGTACTCCCTCCGTATTTTAATATATGACGCCGTTGACTTTTCGATTAACGTTTGACCATTCGTTTTATTCAAAATTTTTGTGCAAATATGAAAATATTTATATCATGTTTAAAAAACATTTGATGATGAATCTAGTCACAATAAAATAAATGGCAATTGCATAAATTTTTTGAATAGGACGAATGGTCAAACATTGGATAAAAAGTCAACGGCGTCATACATTAAAATATGGAGGTAATAGTATTTAGCTGCAACAGATGTAGCGAGTAATATTTCTCTGGGAGAGGGTGAGGAAGATGTAGCAAGAGAACATGCACAATCTGCACTTTTTGAGACTGAGATGAGAACTAAGCATGCCAAGGGGGAAGGAGAGGAAACAGCAACAATAATGCAGTGGCTTGCAAAAGCAAAATAATAAGTAGAGGTAGTAGAAAAGGGATCAGATGTGGAAGAAGAGGAGTTATAAAGAAGGGTTAGGATGAAGACAAGGAACAAAAATAAAATGGGTGTGAAGAACTCTGCTATAAGAGAAAAAAGGTGCAAACAAATGATACAAATCATGAAAGTACCGTATGGGAACATAAGGGATTTGGAGAAAGCATGGAGAAGAAAACACTTAAAAGGGATTGTATATGAAGAGAGGATTGATATAACACTACACTGGTTCTAGTCTTCCTTAACAAGGTACTTGCATCAAGCTAGAAATAGCGAAATTCCGTCACAAATCGTATTATGTGACTATCTTGTGATGAAAGATTTCCAGTGCAAAAGCTCCATCTAGGATCACCTTATCTGACAAAAGGCTGCCTCCATCATAATAAATGGTAGACAATTTTTCCATTGCCATAAATTAGTGATGCTCTAGACTATCACTCATCAAACCAAAACCATCAAGAATCGGCTACTTCAGTGCCGCTATGTGGACAACCTGATGGTGTGGGTACGACGTGAAGTAATTTGTGGTTTCTCACACACTAAGGTGGTAAACCATTACCAACTACTTATTTTGTCACAAATAACTGGAGGCTCAACATATAATAGGGTATGGTCCGAGGAACAGAACAACATGACCTAACATTTAGTGGGCCGAGGCCAAGCATAATTGTATGCCATGGCCTAGCTTATGGCAAATACCTTACTCGATGACTGTGCGCCACGACCTAGCATATGGTGAGCTAAGGCCCAATAAATAGACTATAGGCCACGACCATTGTGTGGTGGACCATGGCCCAATGAACTATGAGCCACCACCCAGCAAACAATGGGCCATGAAAAGAGTTGCATTATCATGAGCGGCCTCTTAAGAAAGTCACCTAGCTATAAAAATCATGTGTTACATGGGCAACTATCCTATACATGATTATCACGTGTGGTTCTTGATCCCCCCTCGCCCGATGAACTAAATCAAATTGTTTTCATGCAAGTGTAGTTTAGAATAGGGGCTAAGGGCTATGTGAAAATTGTTTCTGGGAATAGTGAACTTATTACTTGTTTCTAGGCTAAGCTCAACCTCAGTGAAAACATTTAATGTTATTTTTCACTTCTCTCACTAAGCCATATCACCCCAATTACATTATGAAGTTAAACTCCTGAGGCTCCGAGCGACACGGACCCGATCGCATCTTCAGTTTTTTGTAAGTTCTAGCTCGTATGTTTAGTTTTTCCACTATAATTGAGTATTAGTCATCGATATATATATGTGTGTGTGGTTGTTAAATTCGTTTTCTGTTATTCCAGTTTTTATAGTTAACAAGGGACTGTTCATAGTATACGTACTTTGGAAAGGGATTAGCTGAAAAACCGTCGAGTGTTTTTTTTTTAAAAAAACCTTCAAATCTAACTATATAGTATATAATTTTCCTAGAACTATACTATAATAATAATAACTTGTATATATGTATTAAAATAATATATGCAACTTTATATCTAATTTATATAGAGATAACAATGTAGTTAGAGTGTAGTTACACTATAGTTACAATGTAACTACAATTGAACTAGCATGTAACTTAGATATAACTAGAACAAATCTGCCATAAACATGTGATGATGGGACTAGCTTGTGAAAAGAGGGTTTAGATCCGATAGCAAAATATCTTAGCACAAATCTTAGAGCGGAATCAATGGCTAAAAAATTTGACAGTTTTCGCTCGTAAAAACTGTCGACAGTCGGATAGCAGTTCCGCTTTGGAAAAGTGTACTCGTAGTCTCGTACAACTTTTATTTTTTTACAGAACTATGAACAATTGAACACTGCAAAATATATACTGACAGAAACCTAAAAGATGAACACTATTAACAACAACATATTAGGCCTCCAGAGAGAGACACCCAATAGCTGGACGAACCAACTAATTAATTACTACTACTTCCAGACACACCCTTCGCCGCCGGCGTGTTGTCGCCGCTGTTGCCTGCCGCCGCCGCCGCCGCGTCGTCCTCGTCGACCAAGGCGAGCAGGCGCGCCATCTCGGCGAACCACCACCTCCGCTCGAACTCGTAGCCCAGCGCCGCCTCCAGGCCGATGTCGCCGTAGCGGCTCACGTCGACGGCGCCGCCCTTGCCGTAGCCGGCGCCGTAGCCGTAGCCGTCCCAAACCCTCGCCGCCAGGTGAAGCCCCACCTGCTCGTCCACCCACCGCCTCTTCTCCGCCTTGTCTGGGCGACGGCGAGCCGCCGCCTCCTGGCGCCGTCCTCGCCTCGCCGCCGCCGCCGACAACGACGACGACGACGACGACGGCGGCCGGAAGCAGGACGCCAGCTTCGGCAAGAACTCGATCGCCATGCCGAGAAGGCGAGGAGATCGAGGCGATCGAGCTCGCTCGCTAGCTGCTCGCAATTAGGTTGCGCTTCTCAACTCTGGCTGCTGTAATTTGCTGGAGGCGTGATGGATGGCACCCTTATATGGCGGGAAAGCGTCGCGCGGAATAGAAATCGGACAAGGGAATTTTGATGGGATGGAATCGGATCCGAGATGCTGCCGTTTACGCGTCCGAAAATCCGAATCGGACAAGGAAGGCCAGGATTAGCCAGAGACGGCGCCCCCTGCACTGCGTAAAAAACATGGGTCTGATTCATATGGGCTTGATGGGTCAGATGGATGACGTTCTCTTTTGAATCGATTTTGCTATATCTCACTCGAAAGATTTTTTCTTATCTCTCACTCGATTTTCTCACTTAAATTTACAGTGTATTTTCTTGTAAGTTACAGTGTAATTTATGAAACTTACACTGTAACTTTTGTAAGTTACACTGTAATTTTTGAATCTTCACATGTAAATTTTAAATTTTGTATTGGATTTGGTCTTTTTCTTGAGGATATGGTAATTTAATGTTCATTATGGTGTTTCTTAATTGCTTTTTGCTTTTTATTATATCTATCGGATTTTAATACAAAGATTAAAAATCTGTGTGATACGATTATAAAAATCTTTCGAAAGATGTATAGGTACTCCCCTTTTGAATTTTCTAAGCCCAACTTCTAATCTTTCATCTACGATTTAGCTATATATCTGTCGATAATTTTTTCCCCAAAAATTTGACAGATATAATTACAGTACAATCGTAGTGTAATTACACTGTAACTTGCATGTAATTACATTGTAACTATAGTGTAACTTGTATGTAACTTTCAAAAATCTCTCCGTAACATGTTATTTCGGTAAAATGGAGGTCGTGGGAACAAATTTTTTCACATATGTGTGTGCTATGATTTGTTTTCTTCCTCACCAAAACAAATCTTGTAATAGATCTAACGATTCAAGATTATGTGAAACTTACATATAAGTTACACTGTAGTTACATGCAAATTACGGTGTAATTACATATAAGTTACAGTGTAATTACACTATGATTGTACTATAATTACATCTGTCAAATTTTTAGAAGAAAATTTGTCGACAAATGTATAGGTGGTCCCGTTCCTATACTTCATATAATTGGAGAGGCCTCTCCAATTAGATTTACCGATAATAAAGATGCTGATTACACAATATTTTTTAAATGAACTAGGAAGAAAGCCCGCGCAGTTGCGCGGGCAGATTATTTATTATTTAAAAAACCTAAAAAAGCATTATCTCACCATATTCACTATAAGAAATAAACCATAATTTTGAAATACTAAATTATAATAATGTCCATCATATCCAAACAAAAACTTTGTTTTTTCCAATTTGAATGATTTCTATGTTTAAATTTTCTATACTAAAAATTTATATATAGAGTTCCTATAATTCATATTTCTATGTATAAACTACCCATACCGAATGTTTAATCGTACGTGCAAAGTTTATATATGTGTAAAGTCTATGAGTAGAAAGTTTAATATGACTTTTTAACATAAAGTTTACGTGCGTAAAGTCTTTTTCGTTGCTGTCGAAAGTTTTTGAGTATAAAGTTTGGCAATTTAAGTAGATAGTAATAATTTTAACATAAAGTTTCGTTAAATTTGGTCCGGCTTTGTGAATATAGAGCTGCTAATATGTTAAGAAAATCATGTCTAAAAATGTTAAACATAAGATGTGAAACAGAAACGCTAATCCACTTTCGATGAAAGAAATATTAATCACTTCCAAAAATCCATGCAAAATAAAATCTGCTCAAAAAAGGGAATGATAATCACACTATCCTTCGCATAAAAAAATTTAATCACAATAACTACCATGATAATTACGTGTTCGTGAGCGGACAATTACACGAACGTTCTTGGATAATCACCCCTATAAACGCACGCACACATGCAGATCCTATCTCTATAAGCATCTCCAAAATACTGGGACGAGATATGTAGAGATTCACGAAATCACCATAGGCGTCTCGATGTCGACGGGCATATATCGCTCATCTACATGCGAGTACCCATGTTTCAAATGTAGAACTTGAACGCGAGAAAAATGGTTCCACCACGAGAAACCTTGCCAGTTAAGCTACGCTCACTTCGTTGATTATTACTTTTAAACACAGTACATGCGGAGGCACACTTCTTGCAATTTCATTTGTGAAGCTAAATTACATTCATCATTTCATTTGTGCAAACACATTTCTTGCAATTGTTTTATAAAAAGTAAACTTTTGTAAGAAGCCCGATTAAGCTGTGTTCGGGAGGTGGAGTTACTCTGCACGGAAAACGGAATGGTTCATTAGCACGTGATTAATTAAGTATTAGCTTTTAAAAAATATAGATCAATATGATTTTCTAAGGCAACTTCCGTATAGAAAACCTTTTTAAAAAAACACACCGTTAAGCAATGGGAACCCAAAGAAAAGAACTCAGCACATATAGTAAGGGACGGCTAATGGGGGGGTGATCGCTCCTAGCGATCACCGGCCCACCCCTCTCCCTATACGCTACCTTCTCTCCCCTTTTCTCTCCCCCCCCCCCCCAATTCTTCTCTTCCTAATACAGTACACCATACAAATTTAAAAAATAAAAAAATAAAGTTGGAAAAATTTTATGTATAGAAATACAACTACTATATATTAAAAAAATTGAATTTAAATTCAAATTTGAAATGATTATGTAAACTTTTGACTTATAAACTTTGGGTCTATAAACTAATATTTGAATTCAAATTCAAATTTGAAACAAGTATGTAAACTTTTGACTTATAAACTTTGGGTATATAAACTTTAGATGTATAGAAATACTATATATAAAAATATTTGAATTCAAATTCAAATTTGAATCGGATATATAAACTTTTGACTTATAAACTTTAGGTTTCTAAACTTTAGATGTGTAAACTTGAGGTTTACAAACTTTAGGTGCATAAAATTACTAAAATAGTAAAGTAATACGGTGCCAAAAAAAGGAAACCAGGTGGAGGGAGAGGGATCCGGATCCGATCGCCCTGGGCGATCACTCGCCCAATAGTAATTCCGCATATAGTAGGGGTTGGTAGTGTGTGGGGAGGGGTCTGCCTGAAGATTCAATTTTTAAAAATTAGTCTGTTTTGAAAATTTTGTTGTTGAATTTGAGACTGCAACGAGCCCTGCAACTTAGTACTCCCATGTCCTAAAATATAACAACTTTTAGCCCTCAGGATTTGTCCTAAAATATAACAACTTCTCCACCAACATTCTATTCCCAACCAATCACAGCTCTCCACCATTCATTTTTCCTACATACCTCCTCTACTCATCCAATCACAACCCTCCACCACTCACTTCTACAAACTTTCTTAATAACCGTGTCTAACTCTAAAACTTCTTATATTTTGGGATGGAGGGAGCAGTATATTTTCCCCTTTTTTTATCGAGGGGACCCAGTTTTTTTTTCTTCGGTTGCACAAAATGTAGGAGTATATATACCACTTAATGAAGACCGCCTCTTATCACACTTACAAAGTTGGAGATTCGTAGCATGTGTCTGATCTTACAAAATATATATTGAAAGAGTACCCGTATATGTAAATTTAAAATCTGGTGGGCCATAATTCCACCAGCACACACTTACCTTTTTTTCTTGGGAGTAGTTCATACTACTTCACAACCATGTTTGTTGTTAGGGCAGTAGAAGTGCGGTAGCGCACTTGAGGAGCCCAAGGCCTCCAGCTAGACTAGAAACCGGTTAGAGAACCACACCTCACAATGCATGTGTCTTAGACAATATCTATGTTAGTGGGTCCCACCTATATATATTAGTAGGCCCCACTCATCTCTCTTTTCACTTCCATCTCTCCCTCCCATGCACGCAAGCATGTGAGGGGACCACTCACAGTTTCCCTTTTGGCATGAGGAAACCGTACCCTAGCTAGGGATGCATTCCTTAGCAAAGATATGGGTCCCGCCACCTTTTTTTCATCCACATCAGATTTTGAACTAGCTGACAAACGAGGTAACCCTCTAGCTAGGAGCACTGACAAACGAGGTAACCCTCCAGCTAGGAGCACTGTGAAGAGTCTTACTTGTTAATGTATTGATCCTTAAAAATAATTGGCTGCCGCTTCGCCGAGCCCGGTGAAAAAGGATGCAAAAAATTATACGGAGTTCAATGTTCGTAGAATTACGCTGTCTTTTTTAAGGATAATTACACTTTGTTAATTAAGATAGTTAAACCAAAAATAATCTTTTGTTGTCAAAATGGCCACATAATTTAACACTAAGAAAATAAATTTGGTTCAGAACTTTTGGGGGGGAATTTTGACTGAAATTGAAGTTCTGTTCATTATTTCTTTGGCACTTTTTTCAATTAATATAAAAATCAAAGTTTTTTAGGGTAAAAGAAATTGTAGGTGGTTCGATAATTTTCAGTGAAGTTGGTGGATCTCGGCCGCCACATCTTTCTGAAATAACATGAATTCCAGATCAATAATATCATTAAAAAAATGCTTTATAAACGTGATAATGGGATCATGTCAACCTTAGCTTCGTACGTTAGTGCACATAGATCCTAGAGAGTAGAGACAAATTACTCATTTACCAATCTAATGGAGACATATAATTAAGGAATAAAACAATTTAACAATGGCGTACCGTACAATTTGACCTTGTCATTGATAGACGAGTAAAGTCACGATCCGTTCACAACACTCGAGGATAATGGTTTTCCTCTTTCTTTAGCACGGTGCGTCGGTTGTCAGTAACAATTCTTGCTGATCTTTCAGAAAACCGAAATTCAATAAAAAAATATCAAGTAAATTACACAAATCCTCTAATAATAGTTATGATTAATGCATAACCTGAGTTTGTTATGGTAAATTATACAGTCGGTCCTAAACTTATTCATCCGTGTCATTTATATCGTTGTACTCTAAAATAAAATATAGATATAGGTCCCAAAACTTATTAAATAATATCATTTAATTCTGTTTTCAAATTAGCAAGAAAAATCCTACATGGTGTTGATGTGAATAATGCGTGACGTTGACGTGACATATCACGTAAACACTAAATTGAGTAATAGGCTCACTTAAAAATTTTCGAATTACCGTACTTATTGAGCTGGCCAGTTCGCCCACATCAAAACTTTCCTATAAATATAAACTTTCAACTTTTTCGTCACATCATTCCAATTTTAACTAAACTTTTAATTTTGGTGTGAACTAAACACAGGCTATGTATTTTAGAAAAATAACAAATACGGAGTACTTTTATAATGGTAATTTGTTTTTTTTAAAAAATATTATACGAGGTATACGATACATTCATTAATCTTGGTTTCATGAAACATTTTAGCCTACAACTTTTGTATTATCGTACTCCAAAAACCTGAGATTTCACGAATAAATTTTACTCCGAAAATACTGTGGAGACCTGTTTAACACAGAGACACAGAGTAATTCATCCCGATCAAAGATTATTACATTATCAACCAAATAAACCGGACTCTACTCCGTAATTTATAATAATTAAAGGGTTCATCTTTTCGCTTATACTTATACTTATTAGCTAAAATTTAAATTTTTTGAGGTTGATTTTGAGGTTTTTTTTTTCATCGATGCTTATTTTTTCAGCCTTTACTTTTATATTACTAAAAATATATATAAAAGTTTTAGTAAAAAAATATTTTTTATTTACAAATATACTGTTTGATTTATTCGCTTGGGCCGTAAATCTTGTGTGTCACGACTCACGAGTAAACCGTGCTAGCGTAGTTAAATTCGGCGAGGAATCCTCTCCCCTTTTACCGTTACACCAACTTTGAATGCCTCCATCTGACGACGGTTGACACTTAACCCTCCTCCTCCAACGGCTATCTCCTCGATTCTCTCCTCTCCTCTCCAAACCAAACCAAATCCCCCCAATGCCCTCGCCGCCGCCGCCGCCACCGCCGCCACCAACCCCCTGACCCACCGCCGCCATGATGCCGAGGATGTCCAAGCCAGCGCCCGCCTCCTCCGCGTCCAAGCCGAGGAGGAGGGCCTCCCCTTCCCCGTCCCCCTCCCCCGGGACGGCGCCCAAGACCGCCAAGAATGCTGTCGCTGGTGCTGGTGGTGGCGGCCAGCGTCGCCGTAGCCCGCTCACCGATCTCAACTCCGGTGACGCCTCCGCCGCGCGGGGCGGGTGCTTCAGGTTCCTCGTGTCGTCCGCGTCGTCCGGGTCCAGGTCGAGGACCCCCGTGGCGTCCCCCAAGGTGAAGAAGCCCCGCCCGGAGATCGGGCGGCGAGGCCGGGTGGTGGCGGCCGCGGATCAGGAGTCGAGGACCCGGGTGGTGGAGAAGATGATGACGAGGGGGAGGGCGGAGACGGAGACGGCGAGGAAGCATGCGCCGCCGCCGAGGGGGCTGCCGCTTCTTGGCGAGGCCCTGACGCCGCAGAGGAAGGCGGACGCGGGGGCCACGCCGGCGGTGTCCGGGGCGACGCCGCCGATCCACGCGTCGATCTCGCCCGAGGTGCTGGCGTGCGGGTCCGCCACGCCGGCGTGCTTCGCGGCGGGGCACCACGTCGTGCCTGGGGTCGCCGACCGCCGCAAGTGCCGGCCCAGGGGCATCCTGGCCATCGCCGGGGAAGGGGCGAGCGAGGAGCTCGACCCCGACCCGTCCAGGGCGTCGATCCACTGGCTGTCCTCACCGTCGGGGGAGGTGCCCGGAACGTGCTCGACGAAATGCACCAACGAGGCATCCGTCAACTGGCTACCGTCGCCGCGCGAGGAGCGCGGCGTGGATCTTCTCGGCGATGAGATCTTTGTCCCGAGGTGCTCTTTGGAGGATGCGTTCTGGCAAATCTCCCCCAAATCCACGGGGCTGTTGAGCTCACCTGTGCTCAATGGTCTATTGGACCTTGGCACGCCGGCATCGGAATTGTCCGAGACGACACCGTCATCAGGATTTCTTCCCCTGCAGAAGACGCCAAGCACCGGTGACAGCCTTAGTCCCTTCTCACTCATTGTGAAGAGGGCATCACAATCACTGTCCTCTAGAGGACTGAAGTCCTTGTGTTCCCAGCAAGGACCAGGCAGCTGCAGCTATGGCTCGGCAGCTGATCCGACAGCGATCTCCGGTGAGTCATGGAGCAGCAAGTGCTCAGGGCTGACGAGGACTTGCAGTCGCCCTTTGACGAAAATGGATCCGGTGGTCGAATGTCTCGAGATGATGGCTCTGTCCCCAAGGCCCGGGGATGCCGATTATTGCGGAAATGGTGCCTTGCCTGCACCATTGCCTGACCTTAGCTTCCAGTTTGCAGGTGCTCCAATGTCTCTGGAATCCATAGACTTGACCTCTTTTAAGAGATCACCTTGTGGCATAGAATTGAAGGGGGAGAAGAGTGCAAGTTTTCAGAAACCGGTCCTTGCGGACCCCCGGATCTCTTGGCGAGAAGGGCTGGTTAGCAGGATGTTTGACATGGGTGATCTGGACTGCTGCAAGTGGTGGTCTGATGATGAGGATGGGCCAGTTTTTCAAGGCAATGAAGAGGCTTTGCGCGATACCGAGCTTCAGTCAGTCATCCCTTCTTGCCTGCAGGAATGTGGCGACCAAACGGCTGCAGCATGTGGCTTTGGATCGGTTGAGTTCAGTTGTAGTGGTGGTGGTGGTGAAATGTGTAATGACAGTAAGCCTTCTTCAAACCCAGTTTCAGTTGCAGAGTCAATGAGAGCAGAAGGATTCGAGCTCGTGTCGTCCGACGACTCGGATTGGACTCTCTTCTACAAGAATGGCTTGTTTGAGTCATGAGTTTGTCTGAATTGGAGTGGGGTTTCCCTGTCCAGAGATGTTGTGTACTAATTGTAGCATGAGAAGAACCACTGCGAACACAGGAGTTTGTGTTTGCCTCCCGGCCTTGTACTTTTAATTTTCTTTTACCAACATATGGAGTTTTCTGTTTTTAAACCTTGAGCACCTGTTCATGTAAATTACGCTGGTAGATAGATTTGTTTTTTGAATAACTTCTTGTTCATTTTTAATCCAGTGGTTGCAATTCAGAGCAACATGAGTAATATACCATATTTTTCTACCTTTCATTTGATTAATGTCTGAGCAATTTTCTTCGCCGAAAGGCGTCGATTTGGAATTCAGAGTATGTGGTTGTCATCTGTCATGATGGTTAAGGATCCTGTCAACTGAAGACATGAATCTGCTATGCTGACTCTATCAATCAAGGCGAACTCAGTCGATGATATTCTGTAACAAACAACTGTTTAGCTCCTTCGCTTAAAATTTCTGTTCATGATGGCAATTCAAAGCAACATTAGAAATAATAATAATAATATAATCATTTTGTCTCCATTGATTGTCTAAATAATTTCTTTCTCCAAAGGCATTAATTTGGAATTCAGAGAATGTAAAGTGTATGTAGCGCTGGTTAAGTGATGCTGTCAACTGCTGACATTTGATGAATCTTCTATGGTTGACTATGAATGTCTGAATGTAAAGTGCATCTATCTAAAGTTGATGAATCTTCTTGCTGTTTGGCTTGATTGGCGAATGGCGCAGCGCCAATGCCATGTGGGTCCCACCTATCGGGATGCAGCCATCCTACAGCGAGAAATTCACATGTGACATCCTTAAAAACCGGTTTCGCTAGAATGTTATCGTTGAGATTCGCTTGAATGCCACTCTCAACCTGCTGGCATTCGCTACATTGTCATTTTCATTGTTTCTTCCATTTAAGAAAATTGATATTATGTCATCTTCAAAAATGAGTTTCACTCAAATACAATTTTGGGAGTGGGCTTCGTTAAAATACCACTCCCAACCGAAGGCTACACGCTATATTGTCCGAATATACTCCACCTCCATCGTGACGAGGACACAGCGACGGCGAGGCGCTGACCCACGCGGTCGTTGGCAATGGTCGTTTGATCCGTGCCCTCGGCAGCGACGACCAGCAAACTCGTGCGCTCATCGGCGACGGACCGACGGTGGCCGGTGGACCTACCCGCTTATCGTTATCAGCCATTACATCCGCGCGCTCATCAACTGTGGCGATGGATCCACACGCTCGTCGGTGGCGGCCGACAGAACTACGCTCTTGTCGGCAAACAGTAGACCTATGTGCTCATCTATGCCGACGACAGATCCATGCGCTCATCAGTGGCGACGCCAGATCTGCGACCTCATCGACATCCTCAACCGGATCCGTGTGTTCGTCGTCATCGTCCTCCAAACCATTGAGATGAAGAAGGCCAGCGGAAGGAGGTCGTACACTTCATCCACGGCGTTGGAGGAGGTGGATGGAGGAGACAGGGGCAATTTGTCCAAAGTAGCATTCTGGCATGTAGCCCTTGGTTGAGAGTGACAGTTTAACAAAGCTCACTCTCATAATAGCATTTGACCGAAACCTGCTTTTGAAGTTAACATATTAGTATCATTTTTCTCCATACGTTTGCAAAACATTTTTCATCCATTTTTTTCCTCGGACGTTTTTGCCCCTGGCTGTGGTTGAACCAAACCACATCTTCTAACTCTCTCTCTCTCTCTCTCGCTTCTCAGGACCGAGCGAGAGGAGAGAAGGGGCGCCGCCGCCGCCGCCGCCGCCCGCCATCCGCGCCGCTTCTCCTTCTCCTACAGCATATATATATCTCGTCGGCGAACTGAGATAGGGTAACTGAGATTAGGGTTTTGGCTCGGAGGGGGAGTGGAGCGGGAGGAGGAGGAGGAGGCGAGGCGATGATGATGGTGGCTTCCAGGCTCCGATTCCACCAGCGTAAGAGCTCTTCCCATCTCTCTCCTGCTTTTCTTCTCCTCCTCCTCCTCTCTCGCTAGCCTCCTCTGTTCTAGTAGTTGCGAGACCAAATCTTTCTTCTTGTTATCTGTGGATAGCCTGGCTCTTACAGAAATCGGAAACAAAGAACAGGGCAGGCAGGGTGTATTGGTTGGGGAATCAAGTGGTGAATAGGAGTACTAGTTAACCGGTTTATCCCTTTTCATCCCTGAACCTGTGGTGTGTTTGTTTTGCGTAGTTGGGAAGATGTTGAGAGGGGAGCTAGGTAGCATGTGCTGCCTCCAATTTCTTGATTTCTGGAAGAGAGCTTTCAAATGGTTAATTAAGGTGTGGCTTTTGCTTTCTCAGTTAGGCTGATTGGGGTCAGGCCGACCTGCTGCTCTCCGTCCCGGGATTTCGCGGCGGTGAGAACCCAAAAGCTTCAGCTCGCCAAGAAGTAAGGCCTCTGAATTTATTTATTTTTTCACTGCACTGTTGTTTTACTTTGTTCAAATCTGCTTTTATGTGCTTGTGTTAGGTAATGCCGGGTAGTTCATATCTAGTGCCGAGTAACTTAAGCTTTGGTTCATATAGCAAAATGTTATGTGGCTCTGCTTATGTAGGCTTTGGTTCCAGATTCCCTATTTTCTGTGTGTTTCTTCATTCGCAAACTAGTTGTTGATATTGTGCATACAACAGTCGTGCGGTGCCTGCTCTGTCATGGTGTGGCCACATTGAGAGGTTATACTCCAGTGTTTTTATTTAGAAGTGTGAAGTGTAAGAAATTCTCTTTAAATCTAACAATTTGTTTCTTAAAGTTAAATGGTCAATATCCTAGTTTTGTTAAATCAGAGACTCAATTACCGTAAAGAAAGTAGCGGCAATGGCTCAATATCATTATTGTGATGGTATTTTGTATCGTGCAATTAGTTTGTTCAACCAACGTTGTCACTTTTGGTCTTCTTACTCAGGAAAAGACGATTGGATGAAGTGTGCCTTGAGAGATTTCAACAGTATAGCAGGACGTACATCCAATCATGGATTCTTCAGGGTTAGTCCTTTACTTCATTGATTTTATGCATTTAGATCTTTACAGCTATGAATTGGTTTGGCACTTTATACTTCATATGGTAATAACACTGCTTCAAAAGGCAATCTCAGCTATCATGTCATGCCAAATAATGCAAAACTCAATGCATGCCTTAATCATGTCATGATTATTCAACTTTCCTGACATATGAGAATGGTCTGTGACACTTGATCATATATATTTTGTCCTAAGATCAGTGGACATCGAAATGAACTGTTCACTTCTAAGGGGAAGCTATATTAGAGGCACACTTATGCCACCTTAAGCTTAATGTATCATTATTTAACAACAATTATCTGCCCTCATGTTTCATGGCACTTTTACAATATAACTTTACATCATATTCAAATATATCAAAGTAACTGAGTTTGGAACAAAGAAAATATTAGCACCATAAATTTGCCCCTTCCCCCCTTTGAATTTCATCAGTGAAAAGCTTATAGAAGTTCTCCCTACTGCAACAGATTGTATGATATGCGTACTCAAATGTGTTTCTCATGCTATTGCCACATATGACATCTACCAGGAAATTGCACACTTCACCTTTCAGCTATGACTTTTTAACCATGTACATAAGTATATTTTGTATGTAAAGCAAACCTAATAAAGCATTCTCTGTTATGTCAAATTTCAGGTAAGGTCCTTGTGGATGGAAGGGTTGTGAATAAAGCTGGAACACAAGTATCTGACAAGTCGATCATAGAAATCAAGGCTGAAATTCCAAAATATGTATGTAGGTGATGCTCGAACTGATTGGCTTACTTTGCTATCAAACAAAAGTAACTCCAGTTTGTCCAGTTTATAATTGTGTCATCTGTCCTGATCAAATTCAGAGCTGGTCATAAGCTTGAGGCGGCTATCAAAGAATTTGGTATTGACTGTGATGAAAAGGTAGCCCTTGATTCAGGGTTATCCACTGGCGGTTTTACTGACTGTTTACTCCAACATGGGGCATCACATGTATATGGTGTTGATGTTGGCTATGGACAGGTTGCGCTACTCCCTTAAAAGTTTATTTTTAATCTAACCGCTATCACATTATTTGTAAGCTGCAGGTAGTTGTTACAAGATTACAGCAGCAGAACTATAATATGCTCCACTTCATTTCAGGTGGCTGAAAAAATTCGAGTGCATGAACGTGTTTCAGTAATTGAACGTACAAATTTAAGATATCTTACTGAACTGCCACAGCTGGTTGACTTGGTGACCCTGGATCTGTCATTCATCTCAATTCTCTTGGTATGATTTGGTGCTGCCTTTTTAATGTCTGCATGATTGTCCACTTGCACAAGTCCTTTTAGCAGAGCTCTTATAATATGTCACTGTTTCTTAACTGAGAATACCATTTCCCTATGTTATTGAAAAATACACTGGGTTATTTTACATCGTTCTGTTCTTTAGTTGGTGTTTCTGCACAAAACATTCCTTGTACTATTCATTTGTATGGTTAGTATGATATACTTAGGATCATGATCTGTGTGTTCTTGTAAAGTTGTCTGGTATATACAGTAAAATTGACCCAATCAACTACATAGACTTCCAGTACTTAAATGCATCTATATATTGTATGCTGCATATATCATATGCAGGAATGTATATTCATGTGCCCTGTTATCTTAACTATGGTTGCTTGACTAGATGGCTGTTATCTTATATGTAGTTACAGTTTCTATCTAGTAATCTTATAGATATTGTCTTATCTGGTTTAGAATGTTATTTGCAGCAGTTGAAGGTTTAGATTAATTTGTGACGTCTAGCCTGTATAACGATGGCATTGTTTTCTCATTAAGCAATGAAGATGATTTAGTCTAGTTTGTAGTTTCTCTTCCAAGGTCTCCTTAGAAAACCGACGCTGCTTGATTGTCCTCCCAGCAATGTTTAGTATTTAGCGCATAATGATCTAAGTATCATTGCTTGAGACCGGCGCGACATCCTTCATATCGTTGTATTTAAAACTTTTTTTCCCTCAATCTTAATGAAATTGGCCGGCCAATCTTTGGCCGACCCAGCAAAAAAAAAGTATCATTGCAATAGAGTTCTTGTATAGTCAATTAGCTCATCTTGCTGAAGTAATAGTGCATTGGGAAAAAATAGTGTGCTTTTGGCGTCCATGGCTGCCGATGCTCCTACTGACCTATGTAGTTCAAGTTCATGATGTTTTTGATGTTCTGCAATCTTTTCCAAATATAAGATGATAAGATCAGCAGCTTCGATAAATTATTAAAGCACATGCTATCCATTGTTCACTGACGTTACCTGTGAAATCAAGGTTATGCCTGCTGTAGTCAAAGTAATGAAGACAGACTCGACATTGATTACACTTATCAAACCTCAATTTGAAGCTCGTCGATCTCAGGTATCAAACAAATGGTCTTAGTTTTTCTTTTCGAACGTTTTGATTGAATATCAATTGGAAAAGAATGTATAATCACTTTCATAGCCTTCAGATCTCTTCATACATGCACAGTGATAGAAATAAGCAAGCCACTAACAGCAAATCCTTTTTATCCTGTTCAGGTAGGAGGTGGTGGGATTGTTCGGGACCCTCTGGTTCATAAAGAGGTAATATGATTTGCTGCCTTTTTTGTGCGTCCCCATCATAAAGCTTCACATTGAATATAGGAATGAGCTACTTCCTTAAAATAAGGTTGCTGTTTATTCCTGAAATTCCACCAGACAAATAGTTTCACTTGTAAGCAAGAAAAGACCCCCCAAACAAATCCTTTGATTATATCCTGAAAAGATCCCATTTCAGCAGTGTCTGATTGTTGCCTCATTTTACTTCACGATTCTTCCCTTGAGTTCTGATCGGAGTACCAACATATTCCATTGATTGGTCACAGGTGCTAGATAGGATAATTTCAGGCGTAGAGCAGTTTGGATTCTGCAACAAGGGCTGGATTGAATCTCCGATAAAGGGCGCGGAAGGGAACAAAGAGTTTCTTGCTTGCTTCCATAGGATCCCAGTGCAAGAATTGCAGCCGGAGGAAGCAAAGTCAACATGATTATTTGTACCTAATGCCATATCTAGTTCACATAGAATAGCTGGAGAATACTTTCTGATCTTTTTACCAAGGATGTTACTTCAAATTGGCATAATGTGATGTGAGAATCCCTTTTGCAATGCTTTCCTAATTCCTATATCTGTAACAGAAACAGAAAAACCAAGCTTTTTGTGCACTTCCAACTAACTCGGATATTTATTTACGTAGGAGTACACTACAGGTATTTTTGTTTAATTGTTTGGCGAGACTGAAAATTTTGTCTGGACATGACAGTGAGATTCTCAGTGGTAAATTCAACATATGTTTAAGCTGTGTCTAGATCCAAACTTCAGTCATTTTCTATCACATCAACCTGTCATATAGACACAACTTTTCAGTCACATCATCTCTAATTTAAACCAAAATCCAAACTTTGGATCCAACTAAACACAGCCTTAGTTAACGTCAAAATTGAAAATTTGGTTGAAATTGGAAGGATGTGATGTGAAAAGTTGGAAGTTTATGTGTGTAGGAAAGTTTTGATGTGATGGAAAAGTTTGAAGTTTGAAGAAAAAGTTTGGAATTAAACTTGGCCTCCAATATATAGTAGTAATTTTAGGGCCTGATTAGATCCTCTGGCAAGTTTTTTCATCCCGTCACATCGAACGTTTGAACATCTATATGAAGTATTAAATATTAGCTAAAAAATAACTAATTGCACAGATTGCGACTAATTTGCGACGAATCTTTTAAGCCTAATTGCTCCATGATTTGATAATGTGGTATTACATTAAACATTTTCTAACGATGGATTAATTAGTCTTAATAAATTCGTCTTGCAGTTTACAGTCGAATGTTGTAATTTGTTTTATTATTAGACAACATTTAATACTTTAAATGTATGTCCGTATATACGATATGACATGGCAAAAATTTTCACCCTTAGAACTAAACATAGCCTTACTCTCACGGGAACATTTTGTCTTTTTTTTTGTTGCTCCCTAAATATAATGAATTTGAAGATAACATAATTAGTAATTTTTCTAGAATTTTTGTTGAAATTTACTAGTTGGTGTTAATACGGGAAAGTTTATGTGCACTTTGCCATGGTGTTTTCTGTTACAGAGCAACTTTATCATAGTTAGGAACTTGGGTGTGGCTCTAGCCGCTCCCAGTCGAATGTTTCTAAATTAAAAATCCAAACAAAAATCACTGAGGTTTACTTGGGACACAATCTTTACACAGCTACGTATTCACGCGTTCTCTTTTCACACAGCTACGTATTCTGGTGAGGAGCATTTACTTAGGAACATCACTTAGCTCACCTAAGCAGCGACGATCTCAAGATTGCGAACCAGAGAATCAGATATCCAAAACTAGTTTCACGCCAACTAAAGGTCACAATTATTCTCGAGCAAAAAAACGATTTCAATGCTATAGACACAACTTTACGAAGTAGAGGCTTCGTTTTACGACAAACCACGAACTTGGATATTAAAGATGCCACAAAGAAGGTTCACATAAACAACACAGGTCACAGCAGCGAAAGCTACAAGCAAACCCTGCATAATCGAAAAGCAAATGTTTTTCAAAACCAGACACACAAACTGATAGATAGAAGCCCACACGGACAGATCATAGGATAGCAGCAGTAATCAAGCATTGCCAAGGCACCAGGCAAGAACCCTGAACCTCTCTAGTACTCGTCACCCTCATCACCCTCGTCACCATCGTCGAACTCGGAGCCGACCTCCTCGTAGTCCTTCTCCAGCGCGGCGAGGTCCTCGCGGGCCTCGGAGAACTCCCCCTCCTCCATGCCCTCGCCGACGTACCAGTGGACGAAGGCGCGCTTGGAGTACATGAGGTCGAACTTGATGTCGATGCGGGAGAACACCTCGACGACGCTGGTGGAGTTGGAGATCATGCACACGGCCCTCTGCACCTTGGCCAGGTCTCCCCCCGGGACGACGCTGGGCGGCTGGTAGTTGATGCCGCACTTGAACCCCGTGGGGCACCAGTCCACGAACTGGATGGTGCGCTTCGTCTTGATGGTGGCCACCGCGGCGTTCACGTCCTTGGGGACCACGTCGCCGCGGTACATCAGGCAGCACGCCATGTACTTGCCGTGGCGCGGGTCGCACTTGGCCATCATGGAGGACGGCTCGAAGGCGCTGTTGGTGATCTCCGCCACGGAGAGCTGCTCGTGGTAGGCCTTCTCGGCCGAGATCACCGGGGCGTAGGAGGAAAGCATGAAGTGGATCCTCGGGTAGGGCACCAGGTTGGTTTGGAACTCGTTGACATCCACATTCAGAGCACCATCGAACCTCAGGGAGGCAGTCAGTGAGGAGATGACCTGCAGCACATTAGCATTAGCCACATGATGTCAAGACAAATTGCACATTACATTGATCTTACAGCAAATAACTGGAGTACATAGCGCTGCAAGGAAAGATGCAGGGCAGTACCTGGGACACAAGCCTGTTGAGGTTGGTGTAGGTTGGGCGCTCAATGTCGAGGGAGCGGCGGCAGATGTCATAGATGGCCTCATTGTCGAGCAGGACAGCGACATCGGTGTGCTCAAGGAGGGAGTGGGTGGAGAGGACACTGTTGTATGGCTCAACCACAGAGGTGGAGACCTGAGGGGACGGGTACACGGTGAACCCGAGCTTGGACTTCTTGCCATAGTCCACAGAGAGACGCTCAAGGAGAAGGGAACCGAGACCGGAGCCCGTTCCTCCTCCAACAGCGTTGAACACAAGGAAGCCCTGGAGACCAGTGCAGTTGTCGGCAAGCTTCCTGATGCGGTCAAGGCACAGATCAACAATCTCCTTGCCAACTGAAACGAACGGCACCACATGTTAGACATCCAAACAATCACATTTCCAGAAATTGTGAACAGATAGTAGTAAAGATGGAACTTACTGGTGTAGTGACCACGGGCAAAGTTGTTGGCTGCATCCTCCTTGCCACTGATGAGCTGCTCAGGGTGGAAGAGCTGGCGGTAGTCACCAGTCCTCACCTCATCAATCACGGTAGGCTCAAGATCGACGAAGACAGCACGGGGGACATGCTTCCCAGCACCAGTCTCACTGAAGAAGGTGTTAAAAGCATCATCACCTCCCCCAACGGTCTTGTCACCGGGCATCTGTCCATCAGGCTGCATAGGACAAAACAAGATTTCAACAAATTACGCCTTAAGAATTTTTTTTATCACAGGATTTATCAAGACAAGACGAACAGGGAGTCACAGGTGAACCAATCCACATAATACAGCCTTTCAGATAGCGTTCTAATGACCTTTAAGAATATAATAGCACCTATCTTCAGATCAGATCAAAAGATTACTACGCAGAAACGAGCACTACAAAGCATGATACCAAAGACCATCAAATAGTTGCCCAATCTGTCTAAATATTTTTTTCTGTGCTTGCTCTGAAATAGTTCTTAGCTCGCAGCAATGTACATACTACAGATCCACATACTCCGTCCATACATGTGCCTAAGTTACAGATCTATTCATAATAAGCAACAAATTAAGTATAAACGGGAGTACAAATCTAGGTGAACAGCAGTAAAATATCAAGATCCATCAACCAAAGGGGCATTTCAGCACGGATCATGGCAATCCAACCAGATCCGCATGCCATTCCTATACAACCTAGGTAGAAAATTTGAAAAAACAAACAAGCATTGATCAGATCTATCCGAAACAAACATACACTAACCAGATCTACCAAAAAGGAACAGATTATCAGCAGGGAGACAGACTAATTCAGTGGATCCCCATCCGAAACCCCCCTAATATTGCATCATTTCCCGATTCTTAGCGTCTCACTGCCAGATCCAAAACATTTCGCCAGATCCACGAACTACCACTGATCAAAACGCAGATCCGGACATCGACAACCACAGAAGGCCAGATCCACCGACAGATCTATCAAACAGAACGAACCACACCCCAGGATCACCCAGATCCACCCACAGATCGAAGCGCGCTACTACGAGAAACGGAGGAATGGAAGCATCAGATCCGTTTTTGTTTGTTTTACCTGGATGCCATGCTCGAGGCAATAGAGCTCCCAGCACGCGTTCCCGACCTGGATACCGGCCTGCCCGATGTGGATCGAGATGCACTCCCTCATGGCGGCGGCGGTGGCGGCGGAGACGAACGGCGGCGAGCGGCGGCGGAGGAGGGCGCGGAGAGAGGCGAGTACGAAGACGCCTTTCTCTGCGGTGTGGTAGGGTTTCCACCTCCCACTCCTCCCCTTTCTATAGAGCGGGAGGCGCCTCGGCGTTTTTGCGTTTAACCCCCTCGATTAAGTTTCCCAATTTTACACTCCGCTCCACTTTGGCTCCTCCAACGGTCAGGAACTGTACTGGTTTGGAATATCGGAATTTTTCTGAGGGTTTTAGTGCAAAATATTCATGCCGTTTTGTTTAGTGTGGGTGGGTAAGAGTCCAGATCTACCCGCCGCTCACTGGGAGGTGGGCCCACTGGTTGCTGCGAGCGACTGACGTCTCGCTTGTAGGTGGGCCCACAAGGGTGGGACCGGATTGTCAGTGGCGTGTGGGTTGGTGGGCGTAGTTGGGGTAGAATTCGAGGGGTTGTTCCGTCATTTTCCGCCCGCTCCGTCGGCGGCCAGTCGTGCCGATATTTTTGGATTTTGAAATTCAAGAGCGGGAGCCAGGAGGGGGAGGGTGGTGGCAGGCCTGGCCCATGATCTATTGTTTGCTCGGATGGGCCTTGGGCCTAACTGTTAGTTTTGATTCTGTTTGTAATTAACTCTTTTTGAAAGGAATAAAAAGAACCATGCTACCTGACGGGTTGATGTTTTACCATTGAGATTTCAAAGGGGTTAAAGTGAAATTGAAACTCAATTCGAACATGATTTTAATTGTTTTGAACTCCCTTCGAATTGAGGGCAGTTTTAGTGGTTATAAATCTTCATCGAGAGAATTTTTCTGATGTTTTTATGGAATTTGATGTCCTAAGAGCATCTCTAACAGGCAACATCCTCTCCAAATGGCTCTCAAACTATTTTTTTTTGACAATTCTAGTAAAAAGATACTACCCCAATAACCTTTCCAACCGGATGGCCAAATCCCTCCCCTTATTGGCCTAACTTGGCAACCCAAAATAACTTGCCAAACGGTAGGCCCCATGTACTATTCCTCCTCCCCACATGGCTACTCTCCTCTTCTCTCTCTCTCTTATGTTGACGGAGAGGAGGCGTTGACGGTGGCTGTTGGGCGAAGCTAGGGTAGTGCGGTGGTGGAGGTGAAGCGGTGGCTGTGCTAAAGCTCGCCCCTGGCATTGGTGGTGTGGGAGAGCTGGCCAGTGGCTAGTGTGACAATGGAGGTGACCAGGCGACACTTTCTCCCTCCCTCTTCCCTCCATGTTGATGAGAAGCATGTTGTTGTCTCGAGGCTACCTTGTCGTACCCTGTCGTAGACATTCAAATCAACATGTGCTATAAGCCATTACTGGAGGTAGCATTCCCACCACTGATCGACCTCAGCCTTCGCCACACCAACTTCCTCATCCATTATCTCCTTTGCATCTCCGCTGCTGCCGGACCCCACTGGGCCCTTTGCACTGCGTCCACCCAATGCCATCGTCTGGGGCACTATGGGTGGGGTAAGGAAAGATGTTGAGGGAGAGAAGAAGAAGAATCGCAGAGATTGACAAGTGAATCCATTGTCATATTGAAGAGGGTAATTGAAAAGTTATAGAAGTGAAAGATAAATTTGACTCTCTGATTTTTTTTTTTTGACAAGCTAGCCAAATAGAAATTTGGAGAGTTAGATTTCAGCATGTTGGGAGATGCTCTAAGTAAACTTCTATAGGTAAAAAAAAAGATACTGTTGTGAAAAGTGAAACCGTTAAACTTATAGAATCGACCAAAACCAAACAAACCTACCAAAAGAAGCCATGCCCTAACAAAATGGTAAACATACTTGATTTGCAGTCTTCAAATCCTACTATGTTTGCATGCTTGGTTGTAACTTGCAAGATACTACTAGGATGCATGCAGGTATCATCAGCCTCTCTAGTCACAAGTTGCCAACTTAGGCAAGCACTCAGGAATTGGTTCATGTTTAGGTACTGGATTGGATGTATAAAATAGGAGTAATAAATTTCATGTGAGATGTAGATTTATCATGTGATTTTTTTTGTGATTAATATTTTATTGTTATTAGATGATAAAATATGAATATGCATAACTTATATTTTTTTTATAAACTAGGAAGGTAGCCCGCGCGTCTGCGCGGGCATGTTATTTAAACCATCATAATTTGTGTTATTAAGATTGTGAAATGTTATGACTTTGCCTCTCGGTGAAAAAAAAATTAAAGGTTCCTTCGTAACACATGATTGAAAAAAAAAGAATAGAAAAGGTAAAAAAATATGATAGGAATGCATGTGTAAAATAGAGTATTGAAAAGAACGGATGTTTTAATGGAGTGTAGAAAATCACGGAATTGAAAATTTATTAACCCACCTAGATCAAAATATCATCTATCAATGCGTAAATCATAACCAAACAAACTTTCCATTAGCAGCTTGATTGCCTAGATGCTACGTGAAGGAATAAAACATGCACGGACATTTTGTTTTTATTTTATTGCCATAGGGATATACGACGACTTTTACTTAAGATGTTATTTCATAATAGTTTAAATACATGATATTTGTCCTAAAAATGTTTTTAAGTAGTTATGATACTTTCTAGATTGTATAGATTTATAAACCACCAAGATTAATATTTATAGCTCACTCTATGGGCACTTTGTTAATATCGTTCAAAATTATACAACTATATCTTTTTCTTTTGAATATGAGTGTTTGATATTTTCAAAATTAAATGTTGAGCGTTAGTTATCCTAACAATCATTGACATATTTAATTAGGCAGTAAAAGATTAAAATCATAATTATATTCTTATGATGACTGAGTCCGGCATCATAACATTATGCGTGCATTATAACTCGTCACATGTTCTAAGTATTTTTTTATTTATAAAGATATAAAAAATATATACTTCAAACTGATAATTTGTATATTTTGATATGAGTGCGCAATAAAGCACATTTGAGCAACATAACCATTTATTTATATTAAAAGGTTGAAACTGTACTTCCATTATTTATAAGAAAGGCAGTGATTAATGTAAACTTATTCCTTAAAAATCTACTTACTACTCCCTATGTCCCATTTTTAAGTGCAGCCATGATTTTCCGTGATCAACTCTGACTGTCCGTCTTTTAAAAAACTTAAAAAAAAATTAAAAACATAAGTTACATATAAAGTAACTATTCATGTCTTATTATCCCATAATAATAAAAATACTAATTATAAAAAATCCAAATAATATGAACGATCAAAATTGGGCATGAAATTTTATGGTTGCACTTAAAATGGGACGGGGGGAGTACGAAAGAAACACAAACACATTTAAGTTAGAACGGATAACTAAGTATTTTTCTTTTTTCTTATAATTTTTATATGATTTTTCTAAATTATTAAAGTTCCATGTAGTGGTTTAGGAGCATTCTGCATGATGTTTAATGGACTTAAATTTTTTGTGTGTGTTTCTTGCATGGTATAGGTAGAAAATGATTTTTTTTCCTTCCGAATTGCTATGACATATTTGTGGAAACCTAAGGATAATACAATGATTTATCAATAAGGAATTCAAATTGCATACTGTTTTTTCTATCCTATAATCCGAAGCTTATAGCTTGATTTTTAATTTTAAACCCTAAATGTAGCTTTGATTTATTTTTTTTGGATTTCAGAATGACAAAAAAAAAACAGACAGAGGGTTGTGAGGCCAACGTGCTTACGTACTTATATACGGTGCTTATGTGCACGTGTATTTAGTGATTTTTAGCGATAAAATTAACTGTTAGGTTTTCATGATAGATCTAATGGTTTTTAACGGTGTATTTATTTTTTTTATTTTAGAAAGAAAAAGAAAAGAAAAAGAGGGACATGAGGCCAGCTGGTTCCGTACATACGTATGTGCTTTGCTTGTATATATGCACGTGTACGTGGGATTGATGGAGATAAATTTAATTGATCGTTTTTAAAAATAGATCTAATGGTTGGCAACAATGGGTCCGGGAATAAATTAAAAAAAAAATCGATGGTTAGATGTTTTGCCTTCTTTTGATTTTTTTAGAAATAATTATAGCGCCACGTGGAGGCTTAGGAGCATTTGCAGGGTTGCTATGTGGCGGCTTAGGAGTATTTGTAGTAAGTTTAATAGAATTTTATTATATAATAAATAGATAATAGATAGATAACATAACATCAATTATATGCATGTCGGTCCCATGTGTTGTGATGTATTTTGGATCATAGACATCTTTAAGTAAAGGAATAGAATAGTATCACAAATTGGATATAAATTTAAAACAATTTAAAAGATGGAATGTTTAAAGAGCGTTGATTGGATATTTTATATTTATATATTATAGGTGTAATTTAACTACGCATATTTGCGTGAATTTGTAAATTGTATTAAATAACATCGATTTTTCTTAGGAACGGTACTACGTTCTTTTTTTCTTTATTTTTCTCTATCTTATAAGTATATGCACATGGTCTTCTTTTTCTCACGGCAAACAATTAATGGTTTAGCTTTTTTTTTTTCTTTTAGTCGTACGTACGGCGGCAAATGTTTCAACTTTTTTTTTCTTTTAGTCGTACATACGTGGGGAAGGTATTTATCTTTTAGGCAACAGTTATATATTTCTCCTGTGGAAGGAAGGTATTATTTTTTAATAACAGATGCAATCTAATAGTCTAAAATATCGGGACCACCAATTTAAGTGAAAATCAACGGTGAGATTAGATAGTGCCATGTGGCGATTCAGGAGCGTTTGTAGGATTGCCACGTGGCGGCTTAAGAGCGTTTCCAAGTCACCATCACTACGTATCTAAGTGTCCGTGTCTTACTTATTTCCAAATCATCCTCGCTACAGATTTAAGTGTTCATGTCTCACTTATTTGTAAATCTATTTATGTCTGAGAATATTGCTTCTACCCTCAGGTAATAAGATAACACCGTTAAAATTATACATGAATACCCTTCTAATGGGTAAAGCCGACCGTAGCCACCAAGCCTTTCTTCTCTAATGCCTTAAAGCATGGGTCTTTCATCGACCATCTTGAGCACAATTTTAACGCCTACATCACCATCAACACACTTATATAAGATTTAGCACACTCATATATGATTGTATTGGTGGGTAG